ATTCTCTACTCATTTAATTATATCACATTATAATTCAAAATTCTTACTTTTCAAAAGGCCAAATATACAAATTGTTTCTCAAAATTATATTTGTTGAAATAAATTACCACTCAAAAAAAAAAATTAACAATTTGACAATGTAAATTTTCATTTTAAAAAACCAAATTAAATTTAATGATTGCTATTAAATTTTATTAAACTATTACTTTTAAAATTTAATAAAAAAATTCACTATAACTACTAAATTTGATAAATTTATTAAAAATAAAAATTTAAGATAATAAATTATATCAATAATTTCTTAAATAATTTACACTTTGTGCTCTTTTCAAAATAAGCGGTTCCACTTTTCTGAAATTCTTTTCCGAAAGTCTGAGTCAAACACTTACACTTCGTTATTATTATTATTATTTTTCTTTTAACAACCCTGCCATTAAATTAGACTAATATTTTTTAAAATACACTCTTTTAATATTTATTTTTTCATTCACAAAATTCATACTTATAATTCCTTTTAAGGAAAATCGAACATACTCTCGTCTATCTCTTCTATAAAGTTCTTATATTTCTGGAGGGTTTTGTTTTACCTCCGCTAAACTAAGCTCCCCAAACCCACAAAGCAACTACGCAGATCTCTTCCAAAATGGCCGACGTAACTGCGATCAGAATCGGTATCATCGGCTGCGCCGACATAGCACGGAAAGTATCCCGAGCCATTCAATTGGCACCAAACGCCACGCTATCTGCCGTCGCCAGCCGTACCTTTGAGAAGGCTGAGAGATTCGCTCGTGCCAACGGATTCCCTCCAGAAGCCAAGATCTATGGCTCCTACGAGGCTTTACTGGACGACTCGGAGATCGACGCCGTCTACCTGCCGCTTCCCACCAGTCTCCACCGGACCTGGGCTGTTCGCGTGGCACAGAAGAAGAAACACCTGCTGATGGAGAAGCCGGTGGCTCTGAATGTCGCTGAGTTCGACGAGATTGTGGCGGCATGCGATGCTAACGGTGTCCAGATAATGGACGGGACAATGTGGCTGCATCATCCCAGGACTCACAAAATGAGTGAGTTTCTGAACAATGAAGAGCTTTTTGGGCAGCTCAGGATGGTAAGTAAGCACTGTTTGATAAATTTCTTTACTGTTGAATTTGGGTGGTCATGAGTTTGCAAAATTTTTCAGCTTGATTCATGTTTTTTAATTATCTATTTAGAATGAGTTTTGTTTGTAAATGGCTATTTTTGTGTATGCAACAGTTCAAAATTAGATATCTACAAAGAGCTAAATCAAATTGTTTTTTGGTGCAACTGAAATCATGGCTTGAAAGGAGAGAAACTAGTAACACAGATTGCTGTTAATGGAGTACAACTTATGAGTTATGGCTGGCGATGTTTACCCTCTTAAGGCATACGTTTCTTATACAAAAGATGCACTAAGATATCTTGAATATATAGTTAGTGGCAGAGCAAATAGACAATAAGTCTTGAAAAACTTGAGCCAGTAACTCAACTGCTAAGGTTTGTGTTCATATGTGAAGATTGCAGATCCAACCTTCATTCATCTTGTATGTAGTAAATTAGATTGTATAAACCTGCTAAGGTTCTAAAAAAGTTAGAGAACCTTCATTCATATGTGAATGGACTTGCGTCCTTATTTAACACAAAATCTCACATATCCAAAGTGCTTATGTCTAAAAGTTGAAGCTTAGTGATGCTACTAAGCATGTGCCCATAGGCTATATATGATTCAGTTTTCTGGAGGGTGGAAAAGCAATCAAGTTTTGTGGATTGGATTGACAATTTGGCATATGGTTCTGAGGTAATAAAATTTTTAGAGCCACACATCATGTTTTGCATCTTGTTGCCTTTGTAGTCGCATCAAAATTAATGTTTTCATGTGACTATGAGCACAAATGCATTGGAATGTGGCATCAAACAACAGCTCTATTGAGGGATCAAAGTTGTTTGGGATCAAAGTTGTTTGGTGTAAAAATAATTTTTATAGTAATATTGTATTCTCACGGTGGTAAAGATAACACCCACACATTTCTCTCATATGCTCCACACTTCATTTCTTGTATAGAAGTATGAAGGATGTGTTGGAATTTGAGATTGCATAGAGAGAGGATGACACAATGCCATGTTGGGTGGAAATGTAAGATTTTACTAAGGACCCAAACCCATTCAAATAGGCATTAAAGGTTTATTCTTGTCATGCTTAGGCCAAGACTTGACTTGCCATTCTGTCTTGTTATAAAGGCATAGTTAGTAAACCCTATTCATCATATTAAAAATAGGGCAAAGCCTATTTCCGCAGCAGGATTTGCTTCATCCACCCAAATTGTGTTGGGGAACCATTTAACAATGTAGGACCCATAGTTGGATTTTGTGTTGTCAGCAAATTCTGTTGTGAAAATAGCTTCACCCTTAAAAGTTCTTTTTTCTTGTATCTTGAGTCACGGATAGCAATGGAAAGAGGATGCAAAAAGAGAGACAAGATATTGCAAGAATATGAGGCCTCTATACCTTAGAATCCTAACCTGCAACTTAGGAGCACTGGAGGTCCCAACTGAGCACACCAGTAGACTTAGGGGAGGAGAGAAATGTAAGGGGTGAAGAGAAAGAAAGAACAAGATTATTTTGGAATTTCAAGAATATTTGTTTCAATTAAAAATTAACTGAGATACCTATAGAACTAACAAAGTACTGGGTATATGAAACAATTTAAAACACAACTCGTTTGGTTAAGCCACTCTAATGTACAAGAGGAGGCCAGGTGTGATTTACTCAAATTTAAACGTGCCTTTTTCTTTTAGAAGACCCCTTTTCTTACATGCATCTGGTGAATAAACTTGCTCTTCAGCTAGATCAATACACTAAAGACATGATTTACTTACATTTTACCTTATATTCCTTGCTATGCAAAGAAATTTTTTATTGGATGTATTTTGTGCTATCATTCTAAGTGTAAACAATCATCCTGATAATTTCACACTCACTTGTCCTTGTTGCTGTGCTTTTGATTATCCTTATAATGAACTCTAGGAGGTTTTGGACATTATCTTATCTTGTTTCATGTAGTCATATGCTTCTACTCAAGGAGGTTAAAGTTGATGGTGTTAGTAGTAATGATATGGGTGGCCTGTGGCAATTAATTATTATTGAGGGAAATATACTTTTGTCTTCCAAATTGGTGCAGTTCATGCCTATTGAAAAAGAATGTCTGCATAATTGAGATTTTTCCTTTTAACTGAATGTAACTCTTGGCTTCCACAGGTGCACAGCTGCTTCACATTTGGTGGTGATCAGGATTTTCTCAAGAATGACATCCGTGTGAAGCCAGATCTTGATCGTCTTGGTGCTCTTGGTGATGCTGGGTGGTATGGAATCGGGTCCATCCTGTTTGCTGCCAAGTATGAACTGCCTACGACAGTAATAGCTCAGCAAGGACCTGTTTTTAATGAAGCAGGGGTACTTCTATCTTGTGGGGCCTCTCTACACTGGGATGATGGCAAAGTTGCAAACTTCTATTGCTCGTTCTTATCAAATTTGACCATGACTGTCACTGCTATAGGAACAACTGGAACTTTACATTTTGCAGATCATGTTATTCCTTACGAAGAGCATGAGGCCTCTTTTACCACATCTGTAAGACCTAGACTTAATGATCTTGTAACTGGATGGGAATCAAAGCCAAGCGAGCACACCATCGTCACGGATATTCCTCAGGAAGCTGTCATGGTGAAAGAGTTTTCTAGTTTGGTTGCAAACATTAAAAGAAATGGTGCTAAGCCTGATCAAAAGTGGCCAACAATTAGCAGAAAGATCCAATTGATTCTTGATGCAGTCACAGCATCCATCGAGAAAGGTTTTCAAGCAGTTGATATTGTAAGTTAAATGTTTCTGGTGTGTACGGTTAGCCTGGTATGTTTATCATTGTTGTGTTTTATGGCCTTCTGAACTGATGTCCCATGTACCTTTTTCTGTTTGATCCTGGATGCCTATGTGCTCGTGCATAGGGCGTGATGTGAACTTGATTCAGAAATTCCTTTTAATAAATTGCATGGAATAAGTGGCTAACTGATTATAAATTGAGTGGTGAAAGTCAGAATAATTGCTTTGAGTGTTATCAGGTGAGTCTCCTTATTAGCTATTTTATTATGAGATATTTCTTGAATGAAAAATGCAGGTTGTTAATTTGCCTATAAATACTTGCACCTCTGGTTAGTGTGTGTAAATTACATATATTGATATTTACTGTTTGGGTGTCCAAGAGTCCCTTTTTATATATCTTAAAATTAATATCTTTTTAGATGATCTTAAAGAGTATTTTTTTATATCGACTTGATATATTTAAAAAATTAATTTTTTTAAATATTAATTTTGAGACTTAAAACTCACCTTTGGTTAGTATTAAAACATAGGGAATGGTATTTGGCATGCTACTTGGGTGTCTCACTAGCCCTACCTCTCTCATCAAGTAGTACTAATAGGTCGCAAGAAGGATGTATTGAGTTGAAAAATTTTATATTAAAAATAAAATAATAAAATATAATAATTAATTAATTTTAAATTAAATATGAACCTAGTATTAAAATTTTTCCTTTTAAATTTCACTACTACAACTGCGAGATCCCTGTCATATTTATTTGCCTATAAATATCAAGGACAATTGTCGCCTATAGAAGGTTTTCTGGACCATCATTTTGTACTGTAGCTGGTACCAGACAAAAAAATCATGTGATATAGCGGCTTTGGACTCTTCTCACCACTCACTCAGTATATTGTAGTGCACCAGCACACAAACCTTACCACTTCAGAAGAGAAAAAACATGGCGGATGTAATTCCTATCAGAATTGGGGTCCTAGGCTGTGCTGAGATTGCCCGGAAAGTATCCCGAGCCATCCAGCTGGCGCCAAATGCCACACTGTCGGCCATTGCCAGCCGGTCCTTGGACAAGGCAGCGGCATTTGCACGTGCCAACAGGTTCCCTCCAGATGCAAAGGTTTATGGTTCCTACGAGGCCCTACTAGAAGACCCGGATATTGACGCCGTGCACATGCCACTCCCCACCAGCCTTCACCTGCGCTGGGCTGTGCTCGCAGCGCAGAAGAAGAAGCACCTGCTGGTGGAGAAGCCGCCTGCTATGAACGTGGCGGAGTTCGACAAGATTGTGGAGGCATGTTGGGATAATGGCGTGCAGATAATGGATGGAACAATGTGGCTGCATCATCCCAGGACCCACAAAATGAAGGAGTTTTTGAATGATACGGAACGTTTTGGAAAACCCGCGCTGGTACGTAGTTACCCTTTTTGTCTGAAAATAATGAAAAAAAAGGAGGTGTTTTCTAGTATATTTTTTAAAGGGTATTTTTAAAAACATTATGTTTTAATTAATATTCTTAAAAATAATTATTGGATTGACATTGTTATTTTTTTTTCTTGATATTAACTTTCAATATTCAAAAATTAAATTAAATTCTTATTAATTTTGAATTGAATTAAACTTATAAGAGAAAAAAATTTATTCATATATATATATCATGTATATATCAAATTTTAACTTAATCTAATTTGTTTAATTAATATTTTGACATTGTTAAATTATATCAGTAAATAAAATTTTTTTGATAATAAATTAAAAATATTAAATTATTATAAATATTAATATGTGTGATTTATATAAATAAAATTTCTAATTTAATAATTAATTTTTAAAATATTAATTATAAAATAAAATTTTGGACAAATTCTTTTAAAAAAAATTGAGAAAACAATTTGTCCTACACTAATCTCATTAAAAAAACCCTACAAACGTTTACCATTTTGTTACTCAGGTCTCAAGATGTGATTGTAAACAAGGAAGAACTTCCAACTTAACTTTTTCAATTATTAACACTGCTATTATCTATTAAGACTGCAATTATCTATTGAGGCTGCAATTATCTATTGAGGATGATAAAAGAATAGAACTTTTAGGTCATTAATTTTATATAAAAATTTTACATAGTGTATGGATAATTATTAAATTTTTTTATCAAGTAGAACTAGAAAAACAAATTCAACTATTTAAATTAGGTTGAATGGAGTACTGCCAAAAGCGCAGTGTGGATAAATTACAGAAAATATTCTGAAAATTAAATGAGAGGATATGTTGTGAGTTTAGTTGTGGCCAAATCATTATCTCATTATCCTTTGCGTTCCACACAGGTTAACTCGTGCTTCACATTGTTGGCCGATTCCGATTTCCTTAAAAACGACATCCGCGTGAAGCCTGATTTGGACGGTCTAGGTACTCTCGGCGACCTTGGTTGGTACTGCATCAACGCAATCCTATGGGCCGCCGACTACGAACTCCCCGAGACGGTGGCGGCCTTACGAGCCCCTGTTCACAATGACGCAGGGGTACTTCTATCTTGTGGGGCTTCTCTCCACTGGCGCGACGGCAGGATAGCCAACTTCCACACCTCTTTTCTCTCGAATTTAACTATGAATCTCACCGTTACAGGAACAAAGGGGACTCTGCACCTCACTGATTTCAACATTCCTCAAAGAGAAGATCAGGCTTCGTTTACGACATTGGTGAACCCCAAGTACAATGACCTTCGTACGACGTGGTTATCGTTGCCGATTGAGCACACCATCGAGACGGCGCTTCCCCAGGAAACGCTTATGGTGGAGGAGTTTGCGAGGTTGGTTGCCGGTATTAAGAGGAATGGGTCGAAGCCGGATAAAACGTGGCCGGCGATTAGCCGGAAGACCCAGTTGGTTCTGGATGCAGTTATTGCGTCAATTGAGAATGGCTTTGAACCAATTGAAATTTTGGGCTAAATTGTTTAATATCTCATCCCTTGGATTAATGGCTATTAAAATCAATGGCTATTACGTGGCCATGTGTTCGTACGTGGATTATATTTCTAATAATTTGTATTTATATATCCTTTAAAAAATTAATTCGTGAAATTTGTTAAATATGCTATAAACCTTGTGCATTTAGATCATGTTACTGTAATAAAATATCCCTAACATGTATATTTCACTAATTATAATATATTTTTTTAATAAAGGTAATTACCTATTACCATCATTATATACTTTTAATAAAAGATAAAAAAAAAAGGAATTAAAGTTAAATATAATACACCTTAATAAAACATTTCTATTTATAAAATAAAGTGTTAGCACTATGTCAACCATGAAAAAAACCACTAATTATAATTATAATTATAATACTGGTCCGAAGGAAACAGAGAAAGAGGAGAGAAAAGAGATGGGCTTATGTTTTACTAATCAAATAAAATGGTTAAGAAAAAAATAATTTATTCTTGGATCTTTGGCTTCAGTGATAACAAAATCACAATAAAAATACATTTTTCTCTTCTCAGCAATGGTTTTAATCTAGTTACTTATAAACATGTTAAAAAAAAATAATTATAATTATTTTTTTAAAATTTATTTTATAAAACAAATTATATATTAAAAATATAATTTATCTTATAAATTTATTTAAATACTTTTAAATACCTTTATTACAGAGTGGATTGTGTTTTTAATATAAACTCTCTCTTGTAAAACTTGAATTTTCCTGTGTCACCGCTACCCCCATCGGATTGTACTCCAAGCCAATGAAATAGGGACACGTCATATAATTAAAGCCATCTCATGATATCGTTAACTAATTACATCCGCTCAAATTAAACAGAGTCAAGTAAAAGTCGCTAACGGAGACTTTCTGCAGCAAGCCATGATTCTCCTCTCTCCGCTGCCCAGTGCTCAGTTCTGAAATTGATGATGATGAACCACCTCCACAAAACGCTTTCTCCCACAGAATCCCATCCTTATCCTCTTTTAACCTTCAATTTCCCAATGGGGCTGCAGATCTGAGAGGAGATATACTCTATGAGAAAAGAGTGGATGGATATGGAAGTATTTATCAATCAAGGAAAATAAAGAATGGAATAGTAAATTAAATGAAAACAACATGAATCTATAGAAACAAATATGAGAAGAGAAAGGACTAATCTATTGAGTTTAGTCGTTCGTCCCCAAATCTATATACTAAGATTTCATTGATGGGAAGTTTTACTTCTATTAATGACTTAAAAAATTTTCCCATCCTTCAATTTTTTTATATTCGAAAAAAAAAAAATTTATGAGGAGGGAAGAAAATTTTCAGATCAAGCTAAGTGATGAGATTTTTTCGAGAAGTAGAAGGGGAGGGGGAAGACTTGGGGAGGATAGAAAAGAAAGAGAAACGTGGCAAGGTAGAGGAGAGGCAGGTGACCCACAAAGGACGAGATGGCTTCACGGCATGACATGTCCCACCCTTTTATCTGCTTGAGATGCAATCCCACACGAGGTATAACCGGGAGCTGTTTACCTTCTTACGTTTCGTTTGAAATTGTTGTGTGCCCATATACAATTCAGGCATACACTATATGTCCACAGAGGAGAGACAATCCCTGTCAACATCTACAATTGTGTTTCTCGTCTGTGGACATATGGTGTATGCCCAATCGACGGTATATGTTCTTCATGTATGGAACTTCCTTCACCTGCAAAAACAATTTGTAATATAATAGAAGAATTGCGTACATTAAACTCGAGTCAAACCTTCGCAGTGGTGACTTAGGACAGAGGAAAGAGGAAGGAATTGTAAGAGCTGGCATGAAAAGATTTTGATTTTAACTCGGCAACGGTGATTTATAACAGAAGAAGGAACTGAAGGAGTTGCGATAAAGAGACTCTAATATAAAGCGTAACATTTTGAGGAAGATGATTATACAGGAAAATGAGCTTGAGATATATATATAGAGATGCGTTTGTGATACGGATTTATCTGGTGAAGGTTAGGTTAGCTTGCAGCATTATTAAGGTTTTTGTTGCTTGTGGCCATCAATGACTGAAAAATATATTAAATTAGGTATAAATTAATAATATATTTTTTTATATTTTTTTATAATTAATTTTTATTAAAAATTAAAAAATAACTTTAATTTTATTTTTTATTTAATTAAAAATATACATATAATATTAATAATAAAAACAAAATCAATTTTTATAATTATTTCATAAAAATTAAATATAGAATAATACAATTAATAAACTATTAACTTATATCCTTAATTAAACATATTAAATTATAACAAGAATCTCTTCTGCATTGCAGGTTTCGGGTCGGCTTTGAATAAGTTTGGCATTTATTGTAATTTTTTTTAATCAGAAAAAAATCAAAATAACAGAAAGAGGAAGTACATGAAGAAAAAGGCAGAGTACTAGCATGAAGTACATTCAACGAGAAGTACACGAAGTCAAAGTGGAGTACATTAATGCGACTAACAAAAACTTAACAGGAAATAAATAACATCCATTAATTAAATCTACTTCGATTTTGGTTAAAGTCAGCTGTTCTAAGCCCAAGGCTCGTTTAGTTGAATTTTAAATTTCATTTTTTGATTTTTATTTCCAATATTTAATAATTAATAATAATATATTTAAAAATTAAATTTTATTATCATAAAACATTAGAATTTATTATATTTTAACTAAACAAAAAAAGTATAATGCAATCTTGTAATAGCAAAGAATTCTACATCCTTCTTTAGCTCAAATTTGCTCTTCGGTCATCCTTAGAAATTCAAGATTAGTTTTTGGAATAGACACTCCGATATTTAAGTTACCAATAATAAAGTATGCTAGAAAGAAAACAAAAGAAGACTTGAGATAGGTTTCAATAACCTTTAGAGGTATTTATAGCCTTCAAAATTGTGTTCACGTGTTCATCTTTACGAAAAATTGAATTTATATGTGTCAATCATTGCAGAAATCTTTAATAAGAAATTTGCGTATGTACAAAGCTACTCTAGAGTGAGGTTAGAGGGGATGAACTCGAACTCAAACTCAGCTAAGCTTGTTAAGCTCCAAAGTAGCGC